TGGAAACAACCTCCCTGCTTCTATCTTATCTATTCCCTTCATAATTCCCAAACCCATTGACCTTATTAAAATATTTGGGTGGCTGGACAGTACATATGAGAAACAACCTTTTCTTGAAGAGCTTGGTGGCAATCTGAGAACAGAGTACTTTTTTCCAAAGTTGCAAACTAGACTTGATCTGAATCCTTCCTACTTAGGTGAAGATAAGACCATTAGAAATAGACACAGGAATAAGCTGTCCAGCCCCTCAATCCTGCTATTTAATAGGAACATGGCTGATCCAACATTCCTCATGTCCAGACATAGTAGGAACTGCAGATGCTGGAGAAAAAAATCTTTTTTCTGAAGAAGGGTCTTGGCCCGAAACGTCAGCCTTCCTGCTCCTCTGATGCTGCTTGGCCTGCTGTGTTCATCCAGCTCTGCACCTTGTTATCTCAGATTCTCTAGCATCTGCAGTTCCTGCGATCTCGTAGACCTTATGTATGCTTCCTTTTTCTTTTTAACCAAGGTCGTAACATCCCTGATCATCCAAGATTCATGTAGCTAGGGCTTAGCATTGGGAATGCAACAAGGATTGGCAGTCTCCATAACAATTTCTTAATGATAAAGGTAATGTATGTACAAATTCTTTTGCTTACACAGAACAGGATCTTACTTGTGAGTCTTTGTAGCTTCTAACATGCAAATAAGGTGCATCATAAGTCTAACTGACAATCTTAAATTGGTTTCTGATGTAAATCTATTATTAGCACAGTCTATTATTTAGTAAGTGGTGTCCAAAATGGGAATCACATCTAGTGCTCAACATTATATTATGTGTTTTTCAACAGAAGACTTCAGCACTTACACTCCTGTCCAGCACAACATGTAGGCAAAAGGGAAGTTGCGCATAAATTGTACCTAAAGGGCATGGAGACTGACCACCTCAACAGCAATCCTTATGGCAACATTGTGATCAATCAGGGTCCACTTGTCTTGTCTGAGGTTAATCACCTAAGATTGACAGTTAACAGACCCACCTTTCTCCTCAGCCAAAGATTCCCACCAGCCATATCTGATCCATTTCCCGCAGTTCTGCCCCCAACGTTTCTCTTCCTGGCCACAATTATGATAGGGTCCTCCTAGTCTTCACTTTCCACCACATCAGCATCTAATGGATCATAAGGTCACCCTTTCTGCCACCTCCACTGGGATGCCACCACCAGACATATATTCCCCTCCTCTCCCTTGTCAGCATTCCGCAGGGACCATTGCACCATGGTCCTTGCTTCCTGGACTCCCAACACCTCCCCAAACCATCTTCCCGCGCAACTGTGAAATGTAAAACACTAGCCCATTTACTTCCTCCCCCTCACTGTTCAGGGCTCCAATCACACATCCCAGATGAAGCAGCAATTTACCTACACATCATTCAATCTAGTCTACTCTATTCATTGCTCACAATGTGGTCTCCTCTGCACTGAGGAGACAAACTGCAAACTGGGTGTCCACTTTGTGGAACACCTACATTGTGCCTGCAAATACAACCCCGAACTTCCAGTCACATGGCCACTTCAACACACTTTGTTCCCTGGCCGACAGTTCTGTCTCAGGCCCGCTGCAGTTTCCCAGCAAAGCTCAGTGAAAGCTGGAAGAACAGCATCTCATTTTCCACTTGGAGACCCTGCAACCTTCAGGACTCAATATCAAGCTCAATATTTATAGGCCCTTAGAATCATCTTCCACATCCTTTGTCCATCCCCACATGCCAGGCAATTTCATCACATGGGCTGCTTTCAGCACAGCCAACCCAACTCATTGACTTTGTTAGTAGCTTTTCTTTCTGCCTGGCTTACCATTGTCCATCCCTTTGTCTACTTAACTGTCTTTATCTTGCTCTGCACCTATTGCTTATTCCTTTTTAACCCTCATCCCCCTCTCTTCAGCATATATATCTCTTCTAAACTAATTCTGAAGGGTTATTGGACCAGAAATGTTAACTCTGTCTTTCTCCCCCCACAGATGCTGCCCAACCTGCTGATTTTCTTCAGCAGATTCTATCCTTGTTAACAGATCTTGCTCCATTGCCATACCAACCATAGACCAATCCATCAGCACCCTTGTTTCATGCTATATAAATTACACCTTCTTTCAAAACTTGCTGTGTCCCAGTCTTGATGAGAGCATGATTAAAGATTCCCCCCTAAGCAATGTGTAATTTCTGTTCTCCCAAACAATTTGTTTGGTCATTGAGTCTCCAGCATACTGAAAGCCAGTCGTTCCCGTCTGGACAGTAGCTTTTGCATTCCCCCCTTAGGGGTCCTCAAAAACCTCGCCTGGAAGATAGCAATTCTGACAGGACTGCATTCCAGCTTTCTTACTTGGATTCGAGTGCCAATCTTTTGGTATTTATCCCAACACTAGAGGTCCATTCTGCACTCAGTCGTGGTTGTGGAGGCGCTGGAATTAGATTCAGGAATTACTGACGTACCCTTCACCCCCCCCACCCCCCACCTTTTATATATAAAAGGGGTAGTCGAACCTCCAACTCCTTTCTGTCCCTCCCTCAAGGAGCAACGAACAACACAAACACAGCCTCCACACGACCATGCAGCGCGAAAAAGAACAGCTCCGTAGTAACCGGCCAACCGAACCTGACGGCCGGAACTGACGCCACCTTCCCGCGTGCCGGTAGGGGGGTTCGTAGTGATTGATATCGCCTACAACCCAATGGTCGCTCGGGACTGGAATGATTCGCCCCCACAGCGTTTGACAGCCAGCCAATGGAGCGCGCGGGTGGGCGGGGTACCTCTCCACCTGTCAAGTTTGGTTGAGGAGTAGTGTTGGGGGTGGGCGGAGTGGGAGAGAGTAGTAGTAACAGTCAGTGGGAGGGGAGATTGCTGTCTTGTGAGGAGATTATTTAAAAAAAACAGAAAGATCTCCCTCCGTACATGTTAACAACATTTAAAGAGGACACCGTGGGGGTAGCTTCGTATTTAACCACTCGTTTTTTTTTACAAAAAGGAATTATTTATAAAAGGTGCTAGGAGTTTGTGGGAGATTCTTGTTTGAAATATGGAAGAGGGGTCCAGTGAAGGTGACATGTTTACAGTTGAGCACGAGCTGAAGAACGGTAAGAGCGCGAGCCCAAATCCGGGTGCGAGCCGGGGTGAACGGCGAGGGCGGGGGAGGGGGAGCGCGAAGAAGATGGGAGGGGTCGGTCGGTTGGTGGGGGTTGTGGTGGGGGGGGGGGGGGTGGGGGGTGGAAGCGCGATCCCGCGGCGGGGAAGGGAATGGAGGGCGAGTTGGGGGAGCGCGATCCGAGCCGGGAGCGCGCCCCCCCTTTGATCCCTCGACTTGCCTGTACTACTCTCACACACCACCACCACCCCTCCCCATTCACGTTCGGAGCGATCCCGGCAGCGCCAGCCAGATGTGGATGCGCATTCCCGGGTCTCCTTCCCCCACCCGCCCATTACGGGATTGTAACCCAGAGCATCGCACCCCTAAGTTGCATCGTACAGGATTGGTGGTTTAGAAAATAATTTCCATGGTGGCAAATGCAACTGTGGTAACCCAGGGCATTCAAAGCAGACATGTATTCCACAAATTCCTTCTGCGTTGGACTGAGAAGTTTTTGCAAATGCAAAAATAATGTGCATCGTTTGAAATGAATGCGGGATGGGACGCTTGCGTGAAAATGAATTGAAAGATTTTTCTTCTTTGCAATTGGTGCGTGAATGTTTTAATTTAGGTCGCCGTTTTAAGGCAGAAACTGTGACCTGTATTGAATGCCATTGCTGTACTTTGGACAAATGTACATGTTATTTTTGCCCTTTAAAAATGTTTGCAACTGTGGGCTTGTTGTGAACCTTCAGTTGCAATTTGTGTTCTCGATCTCAGATGCTCAGTTGCATTCAAAGTCGTGGGAACTGTCCTGCGCAGGAGTATTCTGCTAATGCTTTTCCATTTGGGTAATCTTTCCGGGGGTGGAGAAGGAAAATACGCAGTTGTTCTTACTACTGGGATTAATAATTATGGATCTCGAAGGTATTTGTAAATTTATAAAGCACTCCCTGCCTTCCCCAGTTGGAATTCTTATTGCTGCTGTTGTATGGAGTTATCAACCGTGTTCGATTTGCTGTCTGCTAATGCATGATTCCTGGCAACTAACAAATACGTTTATTTTTAGTGGTAGAATGTGTTCATGGGATCTATCTATATACGTTGCATACCCAAGAATTATGTTGGATGTCTTTTATTAACTTTATTATGAAACGATATCACCTTTCTTAAGAAAAACTAGATAAGTAGGTATTTTTGTTGAAACAGATGAACTCAATATGCAGCTGTCAGACTATTTTTTCATCAGCTATCTGAAAACCCTTATATTTTTCTCCATTTGTTGCAGTTGAAACAGGTTTTCCCTCCAAAAAGAAACCAATTCCATTTTTGCAAAGCTGTAAAATTAAGTTGGACGATATGAAAGTTAGACTGAACAGATAGTGAAGGGGAATAAGAAGTAGGAGCAGTTAACACCTCCGGTGATGCCATGGCATTGAAAAGACCGGGCCCAGTTATCTAACACTTGTGCATTATTGGTATTTTTGTTGGGCAAAAAATATATCTCTGTGTATTTCTGTAGGAAGGAAAAGCATCTTAGAAAGTGTGTATGTTTGTTGTGAATGAACTACCCTTAAAATTTCTCTGAGTGTCACACTTCATTATGTTTCACAGAACTTTGTTACGAAAGCCTTCCTTTTTATTGTGAACAGTGTATATGAAAGAAAACTTGGACTTGCAAGATCTTTGAGACATCCCAAACACCTTAAAGCCAATGAAATACTTTGGAAATAGTTTAAGAAACACAACAATCGATGTTGAAAACAAGGTCTCTTGGTAAACAAAAATGGCCAATGCTTGTACTTTGATATATGTGCAGGGCACTATGAGAATGTTCCACTCAAAATGGAGTTGTCGGATTATTTTTAATTTAAGGATAGGTAGGGTCTCACTTTAATGTCTCATCCAAAAGATTGTTTGTCTGACAGAATAGAAATGTCAGCTTAGATTTTGCATTGATTTTGGCTTGGATCTATGACTTTTAATTGAAAGTGAATAAACTGCATTAACACTAAGCACATTTTGAAGCCATGGAATAGCTATTGTGGGGAAAAAAAACATATCACTTGTTTTGGGAATTGTAATGAGTTGAGACTGAGGCACGGTGGCCCATAATTTAATGTAAAACAGCAAGAACAGAGCAAGTGTGGAACAACAGCTTTCAACTGCAAGTTTATTTCTATCCAGATTAAGCATGAATGATGCTTTACATTAAATTTAAGTGATGCTACCTGACACAGGATGTCAGTATTTTTGTCTCCTTCCATCTTTCTGACAATCGCATAAAACACTAAATAAAAACCGAAAGAACTGCAGATGCTGTAAATCAGGAACAAAAGCAGAAGTTGCTGAAAAACCTCAGCAGGTCTGGCAGCATCAGTTCTGAGGAAGGGTCACCAGACCTGAAACGTTAACTCTGATTTTGTTCTCCGCAGATGCTGCCACATCTGCTGAGCTTTTCTAGCAACTTCTGTTTTTGCTTATAAAACATGACTGGATTCAGAGAGGCATTTGCCCACTGCTTGCTCAAATCAATATCCATGTTAGTTGTTGAGCAACTGTATACACTTCATCAAATATTTAAGAATAATCATTGTTATTGAACAAGTGTTACACTAACCTTTTGTGATGCTAAAATGTTGCTCTTCAGTATTATGTAATATTGTGAGGTCTTGTGGTGCAGTGGGTAGTATTTTGATTTGATTTGTACTGTGAAAAGTGTTTTTTTGCACACTATCCAGACAGATCATATCTTACCTAAGTACATAAAGCAACATAATGTAGAATATAGCTACAGAGAAGGTGCAGGAAAAATCAATCTAATGTGAGAGGTCCATTCATGAGTCTGATATAACAGTAGGGAAGAAGCTGTTCTTAAATCTGTCGGTACATGTTTTCAAACTTTTGTATCTTCTGCCTGATGGAAGAGGGTGGAAGATAGTATAACCAGGGTGGGAAGGGTCTTTGATTATGTTGGCTACTTTCCCATGGCAGCCTGAAGTGTTGCCAGAGTCAATGGAAGAAAGGCTGGTTTTTGTGATGGAATGGGCTGTGTTCACAACTCTCTGTAATTTCTTGCCATTTTGGGCAGAGCAGTTGCCAAACCAAGCTGTGATACATCCGGGTAGGATGCTTTCGATGGTACGTCAATAAAAATATGTAAGAGTCATTGTGGACAAGTCAAATTTCCTTAGCCCTCTGCGGAAGTAGAGGTGTTAGAATGCTCTCTTGACTGCAGCATGGATGTGAATGGACCAGGACAGATTGTTGGTAATATTTACTGTTAGGAAGTTGAAGCTCTAAACCACCTCCACCTCAGCACCATTGATACAGACAGGCATGTGTACTGAAGTCAATGACTAGCTCCTTTGTTTTGCTGATATTGAGGAAGAGATTGTTTTCTTTACAAAATACCACTAAACTGTCTGTCCATCTCTTTTTCCTGTATTCTGTCTCATGGTTTGAGATCCGACCTGCTACAACGGTGTCATCAGCAAACTTGTAAATGGAGTTACAGCTGAATTTGACCACACAGCCTGAATGTATAAGAGGTACAATAAGGGGCTGAGTATGTGGGGCCCTGGTGTTGAGGATTTTTGTGGAGGAGGTGTTATCGCCTAGCCTTATATATTGTGGCCTGTGGGTCAGGAATCCGTGCCTCTGAGTGAAAATCTCTGGTTTCAAGTTCTACTACAGGAGTTGATGGCCAAAAATTGCTCTCAGAATGTGGCCTAATAGGATGATTATCAACCTGAAAATTCTTACTACACAATGGCAACCAAGAGAGATTCCTTATTAACTATATGATGAAAAGAAGGTTGTAATTTCTACCTTCACTACCCACAGAGTACAACATGCATGTAAAACTGTATGTTGCCACAGCAACTGGGATTCCTGGACTAAACCATTAAGATATCACTCGCATGTAGTAATAAGATGTAAGATATAGGAGAAGTAGGCCATTCACCCCATTGAGTTGGCTTCATCATTCAGTGAGATAATGGCTGATCCATAATCCTCAGATCCACTTTCCCGCCTTTCTCATAACCCTTGCTTCCCTTACTGAGTTACACTCTATCTTAGCGTTGAATATTAGAACATAGAACATAAAACAGTACAGCACAGTAAAGGCCCTTCAGCCCACAGTGTTGTGCTGATCTATTATCCTACTAATATCAATCTACCTTGCATACCCTACATTTTACTTATCCTCCATGTGCCTATCCAAGAGTTGTTTAAAAGTCTGTAAAGTATCTGACTCCACTGCCACTGCTGGCAGCGCATTCCACACGTCCACCACTCTCTGTGTGAAGAACCTACCTCTGACATCTCCCCCAATATTCTTAACAACCCAGTCTCAACAGTCCTCTGCATTAAAATATTCCACAGATTCACTACCTTCTGGGAGGAAAAAAAGAATCTCTTCATCTCTGTTTTAAGTATGCAATCCCTGATTCTGACATTATGCCTTCTGGTTCTAGACTAACCCACAGGAGGAAACACCTTTTCCGAATCTACCCTGTCAAGTCCCCTAAGAATCTTGAACATTTCAATGAAGTCACCTCTCATTCTTCTATTCTGATGGGCACAGGCCCAATTTACTTTCCTCATAAGATAGTACATTCATTTCTGATACCAGCTGAGTGATCCTTCACTCCCATCACCCTGCAACCTTCCCCTGCAACTGACAAAGGTGTAGCACCTACCCAATTACCTTCTATCTCCCCAGTATCCGAGGGCCCAAACGTACCCTCCAGGTGAAGCAGCACTTTACCTGCACTTCCCATAATCTAGCCTACTGCATTCACTGCTGACAATGTGGTCTCCTCTAAATTGAGGAAATGAAGCGCAGACTGGGTGACTGCTTTGCAGGACATCTATATTCTGCCCACAAAAAAGATCCTGAGCTTCCAGTTCCCTGGCCAACATCTCTGTCTCAGGCTTGCTGCAGCATTCCAGCAAAGCTCAGCGCGAGCTGGAAAAAGAACACCTCATTTTCCACCTGGAGAT